TTCATACCCAAGATAACATCGAAATCATGTATGTCAAGAGGTATTAAATTTGCCTTCAACTCATTCTCCTTTACCTTAATTCCACAATCTCGATATATATTGTTTGCTAATAGTGATTCTCCTACTGGTGTATTCACTACCAAACAACTGCCTAAAAATTTTGACTTTTGATTTGCATATAAAGTAAATACAAATGACATAAAAGAATATGTAGATCTAGGATCAATCAAAATACGAGCATTTCTATCAAAAATAGACAACATACCCATGATAACATCTGGTGACTCCTCTGCCGCCTGTTGAGTCATAGCAAAAACCTTGCCCTAGGTCTTCGATCGTCCTGCCTGCCCTTTTCATTTTGTACCACTACCGCTTGCGATATTAGACTGGGCCACACTGTTATTACCTGCTCTGTTAGTTGAATCATCTCTCTGAGTCTGATTCTATCTTGTACTACCAGCACTCTGCTAAGAAAACATCCTCTGTGCCATGCCACCCTCTTGGAATACAACTGGGCAATTCCTTTTCAGATGTCCTTCTTGGCCACAGAGATAGCAAATATCAACTCCCTTGAACTTTAAACATTTTCCAGGAAGAGATCTTCCACATAATTGGCAAGAAGAAAATCTGGCACTAGTAGAACTCTCTCCCTGTTTCGGAGTAAATGATCTCAAGGAAGAACCCTGAGTATAATTACGATTGGCCAATGACTGCTGTACAGTACTAGGACTGAATCTAGGACCCCGACTTCCTCAGAGTCGAGATTTGAATTGACTTGAACTGGACACACCAGGTCGAAATCCTCTACTATCCCTCCATGGTGGTCTATAGCTAGAAGTACTTGCCATTGTCTGACTACCGCTTGCTCCGAACTTTGTTTGTTCTCAACCACTTGGCCTATCAGAAATGCTCTTTTCTACTCTCAAAGCTGATTCCACCAATTTGCCAAATTCATTCCAGCCTGCAGCTGTAACTACTGACCTGATTTCTTCCCTTAACCCATTTTCAAACCGTCTGCATTTATCAATTTCGTTGCTTACCAAAACTTGGACATACTTTGAAAGTTCGATAAATTTCACCTGATATTCTACAATAGTCGTCTGGCCTTGTATTAGTTTCAGAAATTCCTCTTGCTTTGCATCTTTATAGGACCGAGGGTAATAGGTATCGTAAAAGATACGATGAAAATCTGTCCAAGTAATGATGGAAGAGTCTAGATATACGCTCCGTACCGACTGCCACCAATCATACGCACCCTCTTCTAATAAAAAGGTGGCAAGACACAACTTCCGATCATCTGAGCAACCCATAACGTCAAATACCCTCTCCGTCTTTGTCATCCATACCTGCGCAACTGCAGGATCGGCTGTGTCAGTGAACACTTTAGCCCCTAACTTTGTAGCCCTTTCAATACTAAAATCTCTATCAGTATTACGCATAGCAGATGCAATGGCAATAGCAATTCTTTCAACAGCAATAGGATCAGTTCCAATCACATTTCCCTGTCCCTATTGTTCAGGAGGCTGGTGAACTAATTCATCTACTCTCTCGGGCTCTCTCAGTTCATCTCTATCAGGAGCAATGTGAGACCGGGGCAACATATCTTGGAGCCTTCGAGTTTTGCCACCACGAGGCATGACTCACCTACAGTTACGCATGATATGCTAAACATCAGAATGTATGCATGTACAATACAAACCCATGAACTCTAATGCATGCTCTCATACCAAACTGACACACCCCGACCTGTATAACACCACTAGATCCGAACGTGGTATGCGCCGATGATAGATACCAACTAAAAGTCGGACCCACCATCAAGGCTACTACAGATACAATATAGCACTTTTTATACATCATTTTTCTAATAGAATTTCGGCATTATCTCCCCCATAAACAGGACGAACCAACCCGTGATCAATTTCACACAAATCCCAAACTATAGCACAGCACAATAAAGATAATTCGAAATCTCACTTTTACCAAGAAATAAAATGAAATATACATATGGATACATAATACATAGTGAGCTCCATAACTATCTACAAGTGATGCAAAATCACATCTAGACATGAACATGCGTCCCAAAACACTGACTATATGTTCTATGAAGTGAGTCATACTAACAAACTCTGTCATGTGGCTCTGACTCCAAAATCAAAGCTCAACTTCAAAAGATGCTCAGATTCTCAACTGCTGCTGATAAGGAAAAATATGGAAAAATATATGAGTTGATAGCTCAGTGAGTGGAGAAGTTCAAAATAAATATACTTTTTTATTTATACATTTTTATTAAAAATCAAATTTATATCATTTGATAATTCACAAGCTACCATCATGTAATTATAGTCAAAAAGTGAAATATTCACATAAGGTCATAAAAATATCATCTTAAAATCATGATATAACATTAGCTGATAACCATGTTATAATCTCATCACATCAAACGTGCTGAAAAATTCATCAAAAATGTACTCTCTAACTGAAATATGTAATCCGCTTCTCGGGTTAAGAACTTTTGCCACGGGCTTTTGGTTCCTCCGTGAACGAAAGTCGGTCTCAAAGACCTCTCATAATCAATTTTAGAACACAGTCAAGGCCCATCTATAAACTATAGGTACACGATCAAGACCAATGTCAGGTCAAGACCCTCCGTGTAGGATAGAACACGGCCAAGGCTCCTCTGTGAACTAGAAGAAATATATAATCATGGGTAATTTTCTGGCTGATCTCAATATTGCATGTCTCACATACCAAACAAGTCTCAATATCACATGTCTCATATACCAAATCACAAATGTACAATAAATAATTCTTGAAATTCCACATGTATCATAATAAAAGAAATTTCCATAATAACCATATAATCGAACACATAATTGCACATACTTTGACAATATACTTAATTTATAAATACTTTAAAAATATTTATATTTTTTCACTCACAGAACTATGTACACCAAAATCAACTCGATTGGTACGCTGTCCCGATATCCGTATCGGCTTGAAATATGATATCATTTTTAAATCAACAATTAACTAATTTCGGTAATTAAATAGGGGATACCCAAACATAATTATTTCACGCTTAGACGATTTCTAAAGTCTCTTTAATTACTAAAATTAATTTTTCTTTCATTTTACTCAATTTCATAGTTTATTATGCTTAACTCCCTTCAATAAAATTAAATTTAACCTAACAATCTAACAACTATAAAATCAAACATAACTTAACAATAAGTAACTTTTTACTTACCTTTCAAGTTTGAGAAATTCAATCCTAATAGGATAGAGCACTTAATTCCTAATGCATTGACAAAATTTCCCCTTTTTTCCCTTCTTTTTCTTCCTCTTTTCCCTTTTTTTTCTTCCTCTTTTTCCTTTCTCTTTTTCTCTCTTTTCCTTCTCTGGTCCATTTTCTTTTATGTGTGTTGTGTGATATGTGTGTGTTATTAAATTGGTTTGGATTTGTATTAGTTTTCTACCGCCTGCCACTTTTTTTTTTGTCGTCTTTTTTTTTTTGACTTTTTTGTTTCAAAGTATTACAGATTTTCTCTTCTTATGCTAGAAAGATTATGAATAGTTTATTTTCTACTAATTTTTCAAACTCTAGCAACCTATTAATATAAGTCTAAACCCCCGTTTGACTCCCATTATTTGGATTAATAATGGGGGGAATAATATTTTTTTGAAAAATGAATGATTGTAAAAAAATGAAAAGATTTCGATTTGTGTAAAATATTATTTTATTGAAAATTGTATTGTTAAAAATAGGAGAAAGAAAATTTTAAATTAAATTGATGAGTTTTAATTTGGGCCAAACATGGCCTAAGTAGACTTAGCTCATCTCTTAACTTAATCTGGTCTAATATTTAATTAACCCAATTAATTAAATTTGGTCCATGAATTAATTATGAGAAAATTACCTAGAACACTACAATTAAAAATTAGTTTTCATAAATAAGGTGGTTAAGTTTAAAATTTAGATTTCTGGTGGTAAATAGGATTATTAATTGTAATTAATAAAAATTTAATTAAGCTTAATCTATATATTCATCCCCCACCCAGTTCACCTCGATTCAAAGCCTAAAATTTATCACTCTCTTCCTTCTCCATATCTTCTCTCTCTCTCTCTCTCTCTCTCTCTCTCTTTCTCTCTCTTTACCACACACCCCACTCATCCCATCGGGGACAGAGCCAGAAATTATTGTTACAGGGGGCAAAACTTTAGAAATTTAATGTACGAATAATATTCATATATAACAAAAAAGTCATAATATAATATTATCAGTTATAGTTGTACCCAATGATGCTTTATAACATAAAATTCATCAATAATAGAATCTAAATCTAAATTCAAAGAAAATTCTCATTCAATGTAAAGTGTCAAACAATCAGCAAGAAAACTATCATCAATTTTGTTACGAATTTCCGTCTTCACATGTTTCATTGAAGAAAATGTTCGCTCCACAGTAGCCGTTGAAACAGACAGTGTCAATACTAGACGAATCAATTTAGTTAAATTGACGTAACTCTCCGATCTTCTGCTCGCAACCAATTCCTAACATAAATCAAAAAGTGTAGATACTTGAAATCGAGGTTCAGAAATCACATCATGCTGATAATGTTGCAACTCAACTTTCAAACTATAATATCTTGCTGTATAAAATCTTGAGGATAAAATTTCTCTGAAAACTTGCAAAGATTATCCATGTTAAATGATTCAAAAGAATTTTTCGGATCCAATGCCGCACCGAGAGAAAGGAGTTCTAATGATGTCTCGTTAAGCTCCCGTTCGGCCCCCATTTTTGCCAAATTTTAATGGTGGGAATAGTGTTTTTTGAATGATGTGTGATTGAAAAAGAATGAAAAGTTTTTTATTTGCGTGTAATATTATTTTATGGAAGATTGTGTGATTGAAAATAAGAGAGAGAGAAAAAGAATGAGAATGTGAGCCAAACGAGGGCTAGATCTTGTATCTAATTCCATCATCAAAAAATCTATGGTTGCATTAAAAATATCAAAATGGTAATGATGTTCGATGGTAGGATACTCACGACCACGAGAACGACCAACCATGTATGAACCATGAAAGTCGGGTTTATGTATATCATTTTTCCAGCAAAAAAATTCACCTCTTCAAGAAATTCTTCCCAGCCATTTTCTCTCAATTCTTGAATGATGGTTTTTGCAGTATGGACAAATCTCATAACAGTTAGGATGTCTTGAGTTTTTTTTTTTTTGAAGGGCTTGACAAAGCACAACTGTAATTGCCAACATTCTGTGCATTAAATGCAAAATAAATACAAATTCAAATGTCGCCAATTTTTTGTATACACCATCCACTTCAGACTGAATTCTTACATTTGGAGAATGATCACTAAGATACTCAAGTACTTTGCAAGTTGCAGCATACATATCAATCAAACTCTTTACAGAGTTGTAATGAGAAGACCAACGAGTACCTCCAACTCATTGCAAATTAACAATTTGATTAGCCCCACTTCCTGTCTCTTGTTCCAACAAATATTCAATTTCTTTTTTTTTTGGGGAACTTTTCAACTCATTGATGTGCTTCGGAGATGATGTAATCATATTAATAACATTATCCAAATCTGAAAAGAATGAATTATTAACTGCGACATTCCTAGCTGCTGAAACCAACGTGAGTTGTAAACTATGGGCAAAACAATGGACATAATATGCATATGGACAATCTCTAAGAAATAATGCTTGTAATCCATTCCAAGCACCACGCATATTATTAGCACCATCATACCCTTGACCTCTCATGTTTTGCACTTGAAAGTTGAAACGACCAATAACATCAAAAATTTGATTATTAAGATTCAACAACGTAGTGTCACTAACACTTTTGATTGCAAAAAAAGTTCTGTCAAAATTCCATTACCCTTTACAAACTTCAAGATAATGGTCATTTGTTCTTGTGAAGATGCATCTCGTGCTTCATCAACAAGAATACTAAACTTTGCATCTCCAAGTTCTTTAAGGATTCTATGTCTTACTCTATTAGCCATAATGCTCAAAATCTCTTTTTGAATGTCTAGAGACGTGTATGTAGCATTTTTTGAAGTATTGCCCAACATAACTTCTCCTATTTTTGTATTCATTTTTCCTAATCCATCTACCATTTCAAGAAAATTCCCACAATTCAGTGAAGATGGAGATTCATCATTGCCTATAAATGAACAAACTTGAAGTGCTAGCCATCGAACACTCATAATTGTGGTCAATAGACACAAACGATTTTTTTGTTTTTCCTCACTTGATATAGCGTGCATTACCTTATCAATATGTTGAGTTGATTTCATTAGATTTTCAACTCTTCTCTTACAGCCATTATGATATGATGAAGATGTTGTACCAATATGAACAAGAAATGCACTTTTACTTCCCTGGCCAACCATATTTCAACTATCAAATCCAATAGTAACCAATAATGAAATATTAGGTGAAATACTTTCATTGAGAAAAATGAAGCAGAAAAAACAATATGCCTTATGTGTTGAAGGCGAATACTCCAACCAAGAATACTAACTGCACCAATGCTCTTGAAATCGACATTCTATTTTCCACATTCTTTACTGTAATACTCCAAAAGTTTTGGTTGATAAGGCATAGTCTTTAAATAGGCACGCATAATCTGATCATGTTCATTAAACGGATATTCATATATTTGCTTTCTTTTTCCTAGGTCTCGTTCTATAGAATCAGATGGTTCTAACTCAACATTGAAAGATGAAGACCGTTCAATTTCAGGAGATGCAAATGGAGGACTGGGTACCATAGAAGTTGGAGTTCCCTCTAATTTGTCGCTCTTTGTAAAAAAAGATAATAAGGTTCTTCCTTTCTTGGCAAGAGGTCGATTTGGTTCCATATTAAAATCTAAAAGCATAAAAAAATCAAAACACTTCAGTATCCTAACAATCCAAAAACAATCCACTAGTAACATTCCAACTACTTATCTAACCTTTTAAAAATACTAGTCTATTGCCCGTGCCATGCACAGGCTATGTTATTTTTGAGGTAATGTTAGCGTGTCGAATGTTGAAGATTGACGGGAGACTAAATAGAACTAAATGGAAGAACATGGCTAGACGAATGAAGACAAAGTTAATGCTACTATAAAGTAAGAGTTCAACAACGAGTCATATGCATACTCCACATATCCAAATGTTTAATAGAAAATAGAGCAATCATACTGTAGAATGACTAAATTTTCATGTCTTGCATACTGATAATTACAACATGCCGTAAGTGAAGACTCGAATTCCAATTTATTTTCAAGGCATTAACACAAATCTCACCGTTGACAACAATATTTGGATGAAAAACTTGTCAAAAGATAGTCTAAAACATAAAGTAGATAAAAAGAGGTCATAATTGTTATGTATCATTTGTGGATGACAAGATAAAATAAAAGACTCAAATAAACTTAGCACAAAAAATAAACTATAAGAGAGAACAACTTTTCATATCTAACAAACCAACCTTCGTTATTTAAATTTAAAATCGTCTAATGAGACAAAATCAACTTCATGCAGAAGACACCATTTCAATACAGAGTCTCAGCTGCAAGGTTAGAAATGATCAATCACTAAAAGAAGTCGATGTTCGAAAATCAGAAAAGTAATAAGAAAAGAATTATTACCTAAGCCTTCAATATCAAGCATATATAATTGAAAAGTTATGATCATTCACTGAAGGAGGAAATATAGTTGATATAGATAGAGAGAAAAGTTTCGGATATCCAGAAACTTTTCTTATGTAAAAATAAAGACGGATTGTATGACATCCCCATTAAACTCAACTCTTAATACCTTACTTTTACAAATAGTATCTCTTGCTAGAATAGTCAAGTAGGAGGAAAAGTAGTCTGCAAAATCAACAACATAAGTAGAAGTGCTACCTTTCATAAACATGGATATAGATACACAAATATATCAGCTAAAGTAAAATAAATTAAAAAACACATTCGAGAAATTACACAACAATTCCCTTTCATAAACATGGATATAGAATATATACACAGTAATTATGGTAATAGAAATCTAGAATATCCACAGAATTAAAGGAACAGAATGGAAATACATTTAAGAAAAATATACAAAAGTGTACAACTGAAAAAAGAATGCAATAGAACATATAATTACAATAAGAGAATATTCAGTGGCAAACTTTGAGTGATCGTACCTAGTGCTAGTTGAAATTGAAATTGAAAAGGAGAAAGATACTTGTTCGCGAAATTATTTTCTTTCGATTTTAAACTACCGCAAGCGTACGGTTCGTTAACAAGTAATAAAGTAGATTTAATGAGTCCGAATGTCGTCCTACAGAGATTAATTAGTTCAAATTTTATCTAATGTAGCCTTAACCGAAACTGGATTGCCAAAGTGGATGTGAACCTAAGTAAAACTCTAATTTCAAAAAGAAACCCTAATTATGCAAATTTAATGAGTGAATTGAAATTAAAACTCAAAACAATATTTTAACACTCTAGAATAAAACTAAATGTTGAGAACGCACGTTGTTATAATCAATAGAAATTAAACACACTAAGATCACGATTTTCCATGCAATTATCACTTTAAACCCTAGGTTCACAATATGATAACACACTTCAATTGTAACGAATCAATGTTCTTAAGTCTATCCAATACTCTCTCTCGAGATGTATCAAACATATTTCTACATACCACCGACTTATATTTCTATGACAAGAGCATATGTAAAAATGCATGCGATTTTATGAACACTTAAAGATTCACGTAGGGCATAGCGGTATATTTCTATTCCCTATTAGACCCTACGATGATTTATATTATGTCAAATCTATTCCAATTCTCTCGAATGTAAAAATAAATAACCCAAATTCACACAATTACGAGCCCTTAATTGCGGAAACATTAATTGTATATAAATCATTCAAAACAATAAAAATGTGTCTTAATATCAAATTGCAAAACTAGGATATTAAAATTAAAATTACATGGTTCATCGATCTCCTAGCACATGAAAATCTAGCCTAACATGATTAAAATAACAAAATACATCAGGTTTTGAGTAATAAGCATCACCGGATTATAAAAGCTTGAAGAAATCTTGAAATTCTAATAGCCAATCTTCGTTCTTGCGCTCAAAATCCTCTTCAAGAAGTGTTTTTCTGCCTCCCAATGCGTTATGGTCTTTTCTAGACCTTTTTTGATATTTATATCCCGTGAATATTAGGTTACCAAAGGAGTTTTAATCGTATAAAGAAAGAAAATTTCGTATCGGAAAGACTACCATGCGACCGCATGGTTTTAATCAGTGCGGTCGCATGGTTATTCCATGTTTTGATAAAAATTACCTGCATTCATTCGTGCGGCCGCACGAGAGTTCTACCATGCGGCCGCATGGTAGACTCCAACTTCTATTCTCTTCAATTTAGTCCCTTTACTTGAATCTTTCACTTCTAGGCCTCTTTTCTTCACTCTATCCATTCCATCATCCCAAGGCATCATCAATTGGCATTTGGTTCAACTAATTCCTTGATTTGTTCATCGGGTCAACTTTTGGGTAGTTGCATCTTGGTCCTTGAACTTTCACTTTGTGTCATTTTAGTGATTTTTCGCGTCTTCTCTCATGAATTTCACCATGTTCATTGGTGTTCCCTACAATTCACAAATGTAACGAAATTAAGTCACAATTCAATCATTTTGCTCGTAATTAAGTCATGTTTGTGACCTAAATAAGTGTGCAAAAACACACTTATCAAACCTTCCAAACTTAAATTATTGTTTGTCCTCAAACAAGATAGTAACTTAATTCTGAACAAACATGGCTTAATACCCGCTGTGGCTCAGGATTGGACTAAGTATTCGACTTTATGAAAATTTATCAGTGCAAAAATGACATCAACCTTCACCTGTTAAATGCGTACTTGACGTGTGTGTGTGAATTCATGCCAACATATTAGGTTCATGATGGATTTGAGTCCCGACCCCGAGTGGTCAATTGTATCCTTACTCGCTCGAGAGATACACAACCCCCCAAACTTATTCTTTTCACTCAATTATCCCAGGGTTGTGTTTTAAAATTAGGAATTTACATAGCTATAGTCCTCACCCTCTGGTAGTTTGAATTAATCTCACTATCACAAGTTTACAATTCAACAAGTGAATGCTCTCCTAAGTTTGATTGCTTCAACACTCAAGATTAAACTAGGTTACTTACCTCGCCTCAAAGGTGTATTTTCTTTAACCAAATGTCCAAGAGCTTTTCTTCATGTTATTGTCTCTCTTTTGTTTTTCTCTCTTTTTTCTAATTTTTCTGATTTTATTTTTATTATTATTTTATTATCATCTTCTCATTTGCTTTCTATATAATCCATGTAACGAGCTTTAGGCTGGTGACTCCCAAACCCGTTGGCTTTAGGGCACCAGGTTTCAAACTCTTGCAGGCTTATTCACTCGAGTTATAAATGCTCGATCAGATGACTTTTTATTAACCTCTTTCCCTCTTGCTTTCTATATGATCCTTTTAGCGAGCTTTAGGTCGGTGACTCCCAAGCCAGTTGACCTTAGGGCACCAGATTTTGAAATATCCTTACAGACTTACTTGTTCGAGTCATAAAGGCATGAAAAGAAGTGTATTGTTCTCACAAATTTATTTTATGCCTTTATTGTTCTAGACATTTAGTTTCCAAAACTAACCCCTAATTTAAGATTTTCACCTATTCTTCACCTCACTGGTCTAGGCAATCCACACAATAAAACTCATGCACAGAGCTCCACTCATCTCAATGCTCCCCTATAATAGCTCAACCATCACCAAACTGTCTTAAGGCAATTTACGGTTTAATTCAATAGAAGGTTATCATTCTTTTCCTATTTTGTGCTCAAACTCCTTTCATTCACCCAACATGTAAAACATGAATAGTGTACACAGATAATGTCAAGTGTTGCATCAACAAGTATCAATTAGTCTAATTGCACCAGATCCAAAGTTTTTGTAGTTTAAACTAGTCCAATTATAATATCATAGTTAGCAAGGTTATCAAACTCACACAAGCATGCATGAAAAGAATTAAAGCAAACTGAATAAAATGCATAGAAATTTAAAAAAAAAAATTTCACTCATCATGCACACACTGTAGAATACAGATACCGATGAACACAGATACTTAGTTAAAATTATGTCACCCCCAAACTTAGTTAATACATTGTCCTCAATGTAAAATTAACAGAAGATTAAAGACGGAATTTTACGGACAACATGAAAAAGGAAAGTCAAAATGTGGTACATAGTACTTCCCCTGTATCAAAATGGATGAGGTGGCGGGAAACTGGATCCTGATGTACCATCATCTGGCGGTGGAGGGTGTCGACGAAGGAGCTGCCGCATCATCTCATTCAGCTCCCGCATC